CACGGTTCTCGAATCCCCGGTTCGCTGGCTTATGAACTTCACAATGATTTTTCTCGTTAGTCGAAAGTTCGTCACAAAAAACTTTACTTCCGGTTTTTCCCGTCTTGGATTGCACACAAAGTCCTATGCGGAACTTACTGAATCCCCTACTACTGCAAGTTTAGAGATGAGAATACGACAGGGAGATTTATGCAACTTATTCGGGTCGGTTGATGTATTTCACTATACGTCGGGAGAGAAAATAAACTGTTCTTGAGCTATGGAGAACAAAAACTAGATTATGTAAGATCAACCAATAATGGAAAATTAAGAAGGTCTGTTCAGCTGCCCAGTGATCAAGTGGATATAACCCTTGCGTTCTGAGCTCAGAGGGTTATTTTCTTCACAACAAACCCATATCCGCACCGGACGGTTATGGCAATAATTCGACCCTGTATGACTGGTCCAATGCCACTTGAGAGACATAGAGCAAAATATGCTTTGGACCGAGTGTGCGGTAAGTTGCCTGTCGAAAATAGATATGCGGGGACTGATTCAGAACGTGCTTTAGGTTCGTCGACGAACAGAGAGCTCTTCATGGTAAGGATTGACTGGCAAACTGTAATACAAGGGAGATAAACAAACTGAATGAGAACCAAAAGGTCCAATGATGCAGGAACACTAACCACACTCAAATTAAACCGGTCAATTGCTATGTTCTTTAGAGTAAGTAAATGGTAAGTCGTCCAAATGCATGGCAAGCTGTTGTTAAAAAAAACTAAAACTGGCACTGAAATCCCATTCGATCACCAGTCACACCTTCCGTATGAAGGTAGGACACTTCATCCGATATTCTTCCATCTGGAGAGGTGTGGCTGTTTCCACGGCAAAGCTCTTCCATTGTGTCCGTCGCCGCATCAATTAAAATGAGCTTGTGACAAAGATCGACCCGTTCGCGTGGTAGCAATTAGCACACCTTAGAAGTGCAAAACCTACTAATTACAAAACTAGTTCAATCATTCCGAAATGCACGCCCTCTTTACCAGTATCTGCACGCACTCTTTCGCCCGGGGAGGCGTTGAGTGACATATTTACCTTGAAATTTTCACATTATGAGATGGAACGAGAATGTGGAATAGGAGATAACTGAGCATTCCGACCCCAATAGGTGCTTGAATTCATTTTGACAGCTAGTGATGAGGAAGCGGTACACATCAACCTTCTGTATCGAATTGTTCATTCTTATACCTACTTAGTAACAATAATGTGGCGTAATACGAGCGCACTTTCTTATACTCATTAAACACAGTGTATAAATTGCTCCATTTACCTAAAATAGAGCGGACATTTGGCAGATTTGAATGGAGTGGATTTGGTGCGTTGAAAGTCTAACCAATGTAAGCAGGCTGATCAGTGTTCGTCGTCTCTTACGCTGTACCATTTAAACAGGTGTGATCGATTTTTTCTGTAAAACTATTGTCATGCAAAAGCTGTCAGCGGAGAGGCTTCCATTTTTACTTTTCTGCGAGTATATCTGTTAGAACACTTTGGAAGTATGTTTGGAAGGTCGCTGTCAAATGTAACACGAACTCAATCCGGACGTCCGGTGTGGTAGATCCGACGTGATGACAAGATGTTCACCGAATGGGTTGATTCGGAATGGGTTATGTGGACCTGTGGAGTGTGGCTTTGTAGAATACCCTTCGCAGAGAGATATTCTGTGAATGGGTTTACAATACACATCTACTGGGCAACAGTAATCGATCTGTCATGAACCGAACGAGTCCAGTGACAAGTAGACAGTTACATTCAAATCCAAATTAGCATTCATTAACAAACCTACGTTTCTGACTGTTCGGGGAGGTATGTTGCTCTCCAACCATAGTGGTACAACCTATCTAATCCCTCAAACCTGGTCCCCGTGGAGGCACCATGTTTGTACTTACACTCGTCTTTGGGAAACAATACCGCTATTTGTGCCTCTCACCTTGTAAGGTGATAGTGGTGGTTTGTTTTGACAATGGGATAAGTGACCAACAGATCATGAATGCTAACAGTAGTCATAGAGATCATATTGACGTTTATTATTGTCAAAACACCTGATGAGATGTGAAAAACAGTTTAACCTGACCAAGATTTGTGTGTGTGTACGTTGGAATCACCTGGTTATCAGTGGTTATCAGTCCCTGACTGGTTTTCTGAACCCGGATGAATGAGTGCGTTGCATCTGATTTGACTTGTGCAACCTGTCTAGTTTTATGTTCAAAGATTTCGCAGTTCAAAACACAGTCATGGAGCCCGAAGTAGTTGCTAATTTCTCTCACCAGTCTCTTGCATTCTCTCCAGGCTAGTATTTGTGAACTCATCGTATCGCCGAGTTACTTGAACTAGCCAGACCACTTAGTGAAAGTTTTGATATTGCGTGCAATTCAGCCGTGTGATATATTCCATTTTCTGAAGGGTTCAAACCCCCTTGAAAAAATTTCATTCCAATACACCGGCTGAAATCAGCGATCAGTCGACTGACCGGATCATATGGCTGTTAGGCAAACATTTGTGGTTGAAGTTAGGCTTGTTCCATTCAGCGGCTATTACCCTGTGTTTCCTACGAGTACTATTACAGACCGTCACAGATCCATCTGACTTCACACGTCTCTGCAAGAAGACGATGATTCTCATCACTGTCAGTTAGTTGCATTTCAACACAGTCACCCTGAAATCGCTGGTTGTCTTCCTATTCTGATCGCGCAGAACCCATACAATTGCTTGGTGATCTCCAATAGAATCACTCACATTGCGCAGCACTTAGATAGAGACAGCTGGGAATCTATGCTGCAGCATGTCACCTTGGCCATCTTACAGATCGGTCCCGTTTGTGTCTTTGGGTGTGTACACACACATCCTTTCAGTGCGTTCTCGATCGAAACCCACCTGGTCCAATTTTGATCACAATCTTCTTTGGCCTACACTCCAAAGACAAAGACAAGCGAATTTGTCAATTCAACAAAGCTGCATTCAATCGATACCTGAATTGCTCCGTGATCTTTGGTGATCGATAAGCCTTTTCTGGAAAGCACTTTGCCTGAGTTGGCGTCAAAGTGAACCTACCAATGCCCAAAAATGAAGAATGTGGTGGCGGCTATGGTAAGAGTGCTTAAATGTTTTGGGAACTATATCCAGTGACGCTTTTACGATAGAGGTATGACATGAGAGAGTCTTCACTGTATCTGAATAAGTTATGGGAATTTGTTGTTTTACCCCGTTTTTCAACCCACGAAATGAAGAAGTTTCCAGTTTGGGGAAATGGAGCGCAGTTTCTGAAATTCTCCATGGAATGTTAAATTCTAGAGGATTAAAAACTAGACAAGCGCTTTCTATAGCTTTCCNAACGCGGAGGCAGGCTGCAAAAACGACTCCAATGACGAAGAAGGTCAAGTGTTGGTGAGAAATGGAACCGAAATTGGACGGCTTTTGATATACTAGTGCATAAAATCCCAGTTTTAACTCGGATATCAAGTGACAATAAATGTGGCTTGTTCAAGTCATCTGAAAGCCAGNAAAGCCAGTATGCCTCATAGAAACCTTGGTTGACCGCTCATTTGTTTCAACATATCGAATTTTTGCGATAAAAAGTACTGAGCGAGTGATCATCTCATAGTTAGTTACGCCATCTCTCGAACGGCTCACAAAAATACAGGGCCCTTGAGACATCAATTGTCCCTATAGAATATCTATCGCGCAGCCACTAATGCGCTTACGCGCAGTTGTATTTACGAATAGGTTCGGGCAAGAGTCTAACCATGAGATTATTTATTTAGTTCCTTAACTGGTTACCTTTCACTCGTTTCTGCCTAGGAGCCGTGTAATCGACTTGTGAGGATGAAAAACGATACATTTCAAGCACGGTTTCCCTATGGATTCTGCGTAATCTATTAACCCAAAAATAA